ATAGTCATAGTTTTTCTTAAGTCTTCAAATTTACTTAATGGAAACTTGTAACAGGCCAAACTTCCAATGTATTCATTTCCACATAGCTTTTCATTTAACAGCTTTACTTCAGGACTACCTACTTAGTGATCTATTCTCTTGATCAGTAAAAATGTTTCATACAAGTTGCTTTCACATAACATTGCTGTATCTAACCAAGGCAACTTCTGTGAAATACTAGCAATCCTGGTGCAGCCTGGAAGTATCTAAGCACAGGACAACCTTAAAGGGTCTGTGTGCTCAGGTCATTTATGTTACATCAGTTAAAGCACGTGAACTGGGCGGTCAAGTGACAGAATAGACTGATCACTAGACCTTATTTCTCCTGTGCCAAACATAGGGCAGACAAGCTTCTGTACTTACTGACAAGAGTAACAACAGCTGCTTCACTGAAGCTGCAGCCTATTGGTACTGCACAATGAGAAAGCATTTTAAGTTAAAATCTTGTTAAGCTAGAAGTCAAGAATGCTGCAGAAATACCTTTAAGAATGGGAGTGAAAAGGAAAAAGAAGGAAAATGCTTGCTGGAAAGACTTAAATTAATGAAAAGAAGAAATGGCAACTGAGGCAGAGTGTCTAAGGCTGGTACAAATTGAAAGCTCTCAAAGAAGTTTACATCATGACATCATGTTTGTGATGATCCTCAACATTTCAGGTTTTCACAATAGTTTCAGCCTTCAACAATAAAGTCATAAGTCACAACCACCTAACAACTTTGTGCCAAATAAATCACAAACTCAGCCAATAAAGAGGAAAGGAAGTACAGCACTTAATATACATGACTGATCATGGGATTAGCTACTGGCTAACTAGAAATACTTCAATCCGAGTGTCCTTTCATTATGCATCAGCTGTTCTTTGGATACTGATAGGTTGTGTAAAAGATTACAGGACAGCTGTCAGTAACTTTCTAGCAAATGAGTATAAAAACAGATATGTTTACTAAAATTCAAAACACAAATAAGTAATAATTGACCTACATGTATTTGATTTCTGAGTGGAGTTATGGTTGCACTGAGGAATTCAAGAATGAATTCACTATTTTACATAACATTACAAATTATACTTAATATTTATATTCTAACCCATATTCGGTTGTTCAAATCAGTGTAAAGAAAGAGGTGCATGTAAATAGACTTAAGACAATCTGCACAGAACCACAGAATTGTAAAGGTTGGAAAAGGCCTCTACAGAGTCCAACCATTAACCTAACACTGCAGTGTTCATCAGTAAAGCAGAAGTTTACAGAAGTATAGAGCCTAGTAGAGCAGAAGTTGACAACTTCTGGTTGTAATGTTCTCAAAGCTCCAAATTTTGTCTGTTCTTCTGAAGTGTTTATCAACTACAGGTTTAAGACTTACTCTGAAGTAGTTAATATTCAACCCAGCTTACCATGCTACAGAAATCCTCTGGTTAGGTATAAAAGAAATCAGGCAGACAGCTTGTTAGAACAAGCCAAAAATCCAATAGTTCCATTTATAGTTATTTTACAGTGCTTGAATGGTAAGAAAAAAAGGCATCTTTTTCTATTTAATTACCATATACATTTAATACCAGTGGGGCTCCTCAGTTCAGTTTTGGGTGCCATACTGCTGATTTCCAGTATGTGCAGTTTTATTCAGTAACAGGAACACAACTTGAATTTACTACAAATAAGTCTTCTAATAACATTATTTGAAGACTGACTGTAGCATTACTATTCCTAGGTGAGTAATAAAAGCAGCTGAAATTTATCCTTTTGGCTGCAAGCTGCATTATTCTTAAGAAGCATGCAAAATTTTGAGCTCAGCAAAAGATGACCAAAATTAATTTTATTTTTCAGAAGTTTTGTTTATACTTACAAAAACTTCCAAACAATTGCACTTTGTAGTCTGAATCCATTGGTTCATTTAATTTGATTGATGCATTTGTTACAGCATGCAGACTTCCAACACATAGCTGATTTAGGCTATCACATTGGAACGAGTGAGAGAAATATCTGAATACTAAGGGCCAAACTTTTCTCACCCTGAAAGTCACGAGATGGTACAGCAGCAGCTTGTTGCACCTCTACCACAGCAAACTCCCAACCCCAGCCCACCTTTTAGTGAAGAATTCACCTTTAGACACTGCTCAGTAACAGTGACTCTCTGCTGTCCTTACTGGTGTTCCTCACTGATACTCTAGATTTCCCTGTGCCTGGCTATTAGCCTGCCTTGCAAACACTGATGGAACAGTAGACCTTTCACAAGAATTCTGCAACTAGGATGGATCATGCTGTTGCCACAACTTGGTATCATTGCCACCTGATGGACGATATCAGAGAATTGAATTCAAGTATATAGCTCCTCCAGGCTCCACTGACACAGACACATTTACATTCATACTGCTGGCCAAAGGCCAGAAGATGGACTTAGTCAGCAGTTACTTGTATTCAATGCAAGATTTGGTCACAATTTTGTTCCATTCTTCAGATGGAGAACCTGCAACTTTTCTGGTGTAAAAATCTGTAAAAATGCAGTGCTGGAGAGGCAAAAGAAAGTTAAATAAGCACAATCAACATTGATGGCCATGCCAAGACATTTCAACTTGTTTAACACATATCCATCCCACCCTTACCTTAAATTAAAAGTTTTGCTTTAATTAACATTTCCATTTATGTGCAGTTTAAAGTTACACAATTACAATGTATTAGAAGGTAACCATACAGTCACCAAGAGCTCTGTTCCTTTTCCAGTGCCTTTTACATGCTAACCAGCTGGGAGATTGTGGTCAGCATGTCACATACACCATCACCCTATCTTCAGGAAGATGCATTTGCAAATGTGTAACGTTTCTTTTAGCTTTTGCAGAAGTAGAATCAGAAAGCAGCTAGCCAAAAAACAAAGAACATGGCCATTAATGGATGTATGCATGAAGACACTTCAGCGCAGATTTAAGGAAGTTGTTTATTTAACTGGCACTGACTGAATTAAACTTCTAACATTTAGCAGATGAGAGCAAACATTTTTGCATCTTCCTGTTGCCATTTTCTTCAGATTTTGCTTTTTTGAGGAAACACTGCTTTCCCTCTTAAGATTTTATTTAAAAACTAGACAAATAAATAGGCAACAGTAAGGGGGAAAGGGAAAAATAAGTCGTTAGTAAACACAGACTTCCAGGCCTGAATACAGTCTGTGTAAAGAAGCATGCAGAATGCTGCCAAGGTAGCACACGTCTATTACATACAGAGTTTCATAAAATCATAGAATGATTAGTCAGAAAAGATCTGTAAAATCATCAAGTCAAGCCATTTCTTCTTATTGTTCCTATATATCCTAGAATAATTTCCTTCCTATAGTGTTTACCTAGCTTGGGAATTAAAAATTTAGCCACCACAAAGCACATATCTGAAAGAGGAATGCTCTTCTACATGGAATTACTCAAACTCTGCTATTGTTGAAATGCATGCTCTTCGCAGCATTTCCTTTCTGCCAAATTGAAATGCTGATAAAGATTTGACTAGAATGAACTGTTTAGGAAATCACTGGTATTACTTAGAGTTATCATTATTCTGTGAGCTTATGAACATCTTATCTTCTTTCCAACCTGTTCACATTAACTTATACACATTAAAGATGTACGATATTGCCTGCCTTCATGACAATTCAGTTGCTCAGCCAGGCACATAACAGATGATTGTACAGAGAAAATTATGCAACAGCTTTCCAAGAGAAATTCTACTTTTCCCCCAAAGCAGTGTTTCTTACCTTTTAAACCTACAGTGAGCAGAGGAAAAAGTCAGTACAGTGCCTTATTTTGTTCATAATGCAAAAATACACTAAATATCTGGCTTTCTGGGAATTCTTCAAGCAAGCAACAAAGAAAACTAATTAGAGTGCTTTAATGGAGAAAGCCAGGTTATTGATTTTTAAATCTGTTTTTAAGTGAGCTTAATGATTGGTAAAGGTGCTGGACTGATGACCCTAGAGACTATCCTCCATCTATAGCATAGTGATCTATAGCATAGACAACATTCCAAGATCCTCAACTGTGTTATAAGTCTCAAGGATTGATCCTAAAAGCTTGGATCTACTCAGATTGTTATGAAAACACTATCTACACTTAAAGAAAGGATGTGTTTATTTAATAAAAGCAAAAAGGCAACAAACAATTAGGTTGAATTGCTTTTCAATTCTGTGGTTTTAAGCAACACTCTCAGAGCTGTGTATGAAAAGGCTAGAAAGAGACTCTACTGCAAAGATGACCAGGCATTTTGCACATGTGGAGTATTAGGTAAAGACATTTCTTCACAATGCAGCATAAACTGAAATGAGCCAGTGAGCACAGGAGTTACATAAGCCATTTCGGTTTCAAGCCCTTCTGATCTTTTTAACTAACAGAAAGTTACTACAACTATCAGAGCAAGGAAGTTTGAAGACAGAAATTTCATAGATTGAAGGTTTTGGCAGTTTAAAACTTAAAAATCTGTTAACTGATATTAAGCAAGCATCCTTTTTTTTTTTTTTTTAAGCAATCTCAGTATACTACCACATAAAATTCATCCTCGAAACAGCAAGACCCAGAAAATTTGCACATGAATTCTTCTACTTACACAAGTGAGGTTTAGTTTCAAACTATAGTGGCCTTAACAGTTGTAGCAAATAAAGACATCAAGGGGCTTATTTTCATATATGCAGTTCCAAATGGAGTAAATGCAACACGAATATGATCAACTAATGAAATTAAGGAAAAAGCCAAGATGGAACATAAATGCCAATCACATTTAATGTCAAATTACAAAAGTAATCAGTATTTTATTCTCTTACATTCCAAGATAAAGGCAAGATTCATGTATAAGAGTTTTATTGCATTCATTTAAAATAATGTAGTTCAGCAAAAACAGGCACTGAAGATGTAATAAGTATTAAATAAGCAAAACCTGCCACAGGTGAAAGGACAAAAGGTACAAGTGATCAGGGACTGCAGTATAATATCACTCACCTCATGATGCAGCTCAGCTATCTGATCTTTCAGTTCTCTGATGTACTGGTTAGAATCAGATTTATTAAGCTGCCCTTGAATTTTTCCTTCTTCTTTCTGTTTTGGTTAAAAAAAGGAATCATATTCAAATTATTCAAAGATCTACTATATTCAAAATCTTATTTTAACTGTCTGCATATTTTTGTCACGAACAGAGGCCATCCCCAGATATCACCCAGCACTTTCATTTGGTTGAAGTTACAGCAGGTATCTAGAGGTGACAGTGGCTCAGACCAAGGTAACTCTCTTAATAGTACAAGGCAGGATTTTATGGATGAGCACAAAGAAGTAACAGCTTCACAGGTGGAATCCACATCCTACGTACATCAAAATACATTTGAGTAAACCACTCCTACAGAACACTGTCAATACATGGAACACAATGTATTTTATTTTCACTAATGTAAAATTCACATTTAGCAATAAGACATTTTCTTTTGTCTCCAGTTAAACAATTCTTTCCTTGCATTGTGGGACACGCACTGGGAAACACTACATATTTCAAGCTTTTGTCCTGTAAGAAGAATTGTAACACCCAAAATATTGTGGTATTTGTCATGTAGGAGTTCCAGATAGTATAAATGAATGTCCCCTAATACCAATGCTTCAAGAGGTATACAGAAGAACTGGCAAATAAAAAACAAAATAAAACAAACAAAACAATAGATTAAGATGAATATGACATTTCCCTAATTTGGCAATCAAATGCAGCTCCTATATTTCAGAATGCTTGAAAAGGTTTCACTTGCACTGAATGCCTGCAGCACTGGTTTCCATCTTGTCCCTAAAGGGAATCCTAATGTGACTGAACCAAACTTGGCAGATCTGAGATAAATAATCACCCTGATGAGGAATGCACTCCATGTCTTCTACTTGCTACTAATAAAATGCAGAACAGCTCTGCTCTTGCCTTTTTCTATCTAAGTAATTTGTGAAGCAGCCACCAGCTCTAGAGAGTGCAAGCATCTTGGTTTTATAAAATTCTTTACCTTGACTGTAAATCACATACAAGCAATGTATTACAGAAATAAAAACATAATGGGAATATCTTGTTTTTCTACCTATAGCTCATTTTGCTGAAATTTTAATTACACTCAAAGAAAGCAAATTTACTACAACAGCCAAATTGATAGTCATTAGCAAAGAGAGGTTAAACACCTTTTAGAATGAAAAGTGTTAACTATTCATCAAAGTACAAGACAAAAAGCTTTAATGGAGAGGTTTCTTTAAAATATCTCTCTGAAATATAAACCCCAGGACAAAACTATGAGGAGAGATAACATGCTACCTTCCAAATCCTTTTTGCTGGGTGAAGAGAAATATCTAGAACACTGTCAGTATTGGCAATATCGAAGCAATATCTCTTTTTTTCAGGCTTTGTTTTTCTTGCAGTGAGGTATGCATTACAAAATTACTCAAAAAATAATTTTTTTGAAGCAGTAACATTTAGCAGGTTGGGTTTGGCACACAAATAGCTGGAAGCTGTTCGCATATATCATATGGGAATTCCACACTTCCATTACATTTAAGTGGTGTTATGGTTACTTTTTATTCTAAGAATAACATTGTAAAGACAATGCAGATATTACAGAATAACTATGCCTATTTGCTCATGGAAGAACTGTAGCTACAGTCAGTTAGAGCTGAATGGAAGGCATAAGCTTGGCTTGCAAGATGCCCATTATTACTGCAAGACAAGTAAGTTTCAGTTTTCCTTTCAGAACTACAGATTTTGTAGAGCTAGCAATTCATCAAAAAAAAAAAAAAAAAAAAAAAAAGTAACCCTGCAATGGCATTTTCTACAAACATACTTTTTAAAAGGTCATGCTGTAACTTCCTCTTGCAACATTCAAAATGCAAGTGATCAGAAGCTGATCCTTTCAACTTGCTGGAAAAAAATGATCTTCCTAGTTAAATAATCCCATGTTCTGTGGGCTACCAAGTCTGTCTACAGTGGATAAATTGGAAGAATAACATAGAAAAAAAATTACGACAAGATATCAGAGTCTTCTTTACAGCTGCTGCTCATCCCTGACCAACAGAAAAGTATAGTCTACTAAGTTGACCATGCCATTGTCTTTTAAAGATTCTTCTGCAAGTGTGGTAGCAAACCACTGGAAAACATGCAGGAGTCAGACACCACAGCATTAAAATATATTTTAATTTCTATCAAAACAATCTAATTTAGAGAATAAATAATAAGTAGACAGCTGAAAGCTTACCTACATATCTAATGAACAAAAAAGTTTTATCTGTCACATTATGATTTTTAAGTTACCCAATATTCTTTAATACTGTGAAATGAGTCTGATATTTCTCATCAATACATACATTTTTATACAAGTACAAACTATTATTATGATCTTCTAAATTGTTTCACCTTCCAGTGACATGTCATGTTAGAACATAATCTGAACTTCATGCAAATAATTCCCACCTTCCGATGAGCATTCATTAATCAAAGGCAAATTTGAATGTGAGGAACTTAAATTTGGTAGTAATATCCTTTAACAGTAGTTTTTCATTAGGAGAACTTGACACCATCACCCCTCAGCTTCCTTTTCTCCAAACTAAATTAAGTCCAAAATCCTTAGCCACTCCTCACAGGACTTTCTTTTCATCCCTTTCACCAGCCTTATTACCCTCTGCACACATTCAAGGACCTTCACATCCTTCTGAAATAGTGGAGCCCAGGACTGCACACAGTAGTCAAGGTGAAGCCATACTACCAGTTACTACAGTTGCACTGACATAAGAAAAATCAAATTGCTTTCATGCAGCTTAATTTTATTTAATGCTTCCTATTGTGGCATTTACTTTAGTAGGAACTGGACATTTAACTCTGCATTACTTGTATCCTGTGCTTGAATGGTTTTGGACTACTGTGCTTGAGCAGCTCTGTACTTCTGAGGAAAGCACTCAAATCAACAGTATGGGTTCAAAACTGAATGTTAAGACTCCACTTACAATTTAGAAGTCTTTAAGGTATGAATGCCACACCTTTTTAAAGAGAATAGTAATCTCCATGTTAAATTTTTTTATCTCTAGAGTCATTCACATAGGATGTAGGTTGCTGGCTCGGTTTTTGGTGGTTGAGAGTGAGGGGGAGCACTATTATAACAAATCTGTGATATTCGGAGAAGAAGTCACAACACAAAAGCTAGCTGGTTGCTAGGCAAATCATATTAATTTAACATTTAAAATTAATATACAGAGAAAAAAATCAGAGAACATATAAATAAGCAAAGTGTGGGTATTATCAGAATTGCAAAATACTGAAAGCTGACCAATTCTAGAATGTAGGAATTTGTTTAAAACATCCTGCAGTCACATGTGAATGACTCTCTACACCCACATCCCTTGCATACTGCATCTGTGTATTGGCACCACTGCAGTGCCTACCTCCTCTTCCCAGAAGGATTTTTAGAAAAGCAATGCCAATTGGTGTTACACTGTAATTAAAGATGCATCATCCTGATTTCACTGCTTTTCAAGATTTTTAACTGCTCCTTTTTAGTCTCTTCTGACAGACCAACTCCAACAGCACCACAAGGGTTAGAAATCTGTATCAGGGTAACAAACACTCTCGTGGCAGCTATCACCTCTACCCTAGGGAGAGGTGCTTGTAGCAGTGTACTCAGCCAATACACAATCCAAGCCCCTGCCCCAGAGGTTGTGTATATAGTGGGAGTAGCACGGGCAGCAAAGCAGGAAATGAACTCTATAGATCAAAAAAAACCTGCTGCTGAAACAGAACTCACTTAGGCCCCTTCACAGTTTTGGAAGCTCTCACCTCTCTCATCCTGCTGTGAAGTAGTAGAGTGACTGTACTTGGGTGCATACTAAGAGTTACACTCAAGAGCTCTTGAGAAGAAAAATCTTCACTCCAAAAATTTTCTCCTTAAAATGAGAAAATATTCTGCCCACCAAAGTTTATCAGCTGAGAACCATGGTTTTCATATCACACTTAAATCCTCTTTTGTCTGGCTTTCTAGGAAAAAAGCATCTTGCAAAGAAGCAACAGCTAGTCTCAAAAAGCCACCTGATGCTGAGAACTCCTGAACACGTGGAGACCTTTCAAACTCATTTAGCATCAGGCCAGGATGTATAGCTGGCAACACGAGTGCAGGGACAGACTGCTTAAAAAAAAAAAAAAAGTTGATTTAAAATATCTGAAACCATTACTGTATAATGGCCTCCCAAAATCAAGTTTAGTACTCATAATAAAAAAGGGTTTATACAACGAATAAATAAATCACCAGAAAGCACCTGAAAAACACTGGAGGCCTTAAGCCAGCTTTTGCTGTTTGATCAAAGTTTAAGATACAGAAGATCAGTGTAATCAAATTCCAGCTGCAGGTGTTTCATCCCAAGAAGAGTGCAACTTTTCTAAAACACTCAATTAGCACATCAGATAGGAAAGGAAATATACATACAAATAAAATAAGCTGTTTTAAATAATAAGAAAACATCTAGGGTTGTTTTCATTTTAATAACTGTGAACTTAAAAACACAGGAAAAGAAAAGTTTACAAGGCAGTCAAACTCCAGGCACACTAGACAACTGTCTGTTTGTCAGATAACATCTCTACTAAAAATCACTGGAAGACAGGATGTCTCCCTAACACCCTTAATTTGATCTTTTCTGACTTAGAAATATTTACTTGGTAACAACTTGTCTCTTTTCAGGAGAGGCTTTAAAACTCTTACTTCATGGCAAAAGACACCGCATTAAAAATGTAAATGAAGTATATTCAGAAGGGTAGATGTGGTAACTAGTGTCCTTTCAGTGACTTTACAGTGACTCATTCTAGACTTTCAAAAAACACATCACTAACATCACACACCACTATTGATAAGAGTAAAAAAAGGGTTTCCTGTAACTTGAAAAGATGGAAACAATTTCTTTACTGAACAGTCAGTACTTGGAAAAGTTATTAAACAGAGGTCATAGAAAGGCTTCATTCTAAAGAAATAGTGCTAAGAGTTTAAGCTGTGGGGAGATTACTAGCACAATCATGGATTTCCTTTACAGTTTTCTCAAAGCTGCTTTGACCA